TATACGTTACAAATTCTAGTCCACTGTATTATTTCAAACAGTAAAAGTTCTAATTGTAAGTGCAATTATAAAATTCTTCCAGTAAGAAGTCCAAACAAATTTTCTTAGGATTTAACGGAGAGGATGGTTTTTATATAAATTTATTACGTCAAATAATATTGATGATGTAATAAATTTAGACCAATATTTTAATCAATAAATCTTGTTTTAAGAAATGATATAAAAATTAAAAGTAAAAGAATCACTAACTACAACGAAAATTGATACAATTACAATTAAAAAATATAAACAAACTAATATCCTGTACATTCCAAATTTTAAAATTTGTTCACAATTTGTTATTAATGAGTAAAAAACAAATGCAGGATTTGAGGAAAATGATAAAGTATATATTTAAGTAAATAATTAAGGAAAGTTTCAAAAGAAATAACTTGTATGAAATTACATTTAAAACAAGTATTTCTAAATAAAACATACTAAAGTTGATAGAATCTGGTACAAACACCTTGTATTAATAGAAAAAAATGAAAAAACTTAAAAACAAAAAAAAGGATCACATAATGACAGATATAAAAATTATATATATATAATAATAATAATAATAATAATAATAATAATAATAATAATAATAATAAGTTTGAATAGTTCAATAGTTTAATCCTTGTATGAAATTTGTATAGAATTATGAATTTTAATATTTATTATATATTTGAGAATATGAAAAAATTCAATAACGAAGGAATTTCGATAATCCGAAAATTCCGATCTTTTTAAATCTCTACAGATTTCTAGGGAACTTCAAGAGAATCAGGTAATTGTTTTTTCTGCCCCCTTTTGGTACTTCGGGAAATAAGTGTTACTCTATTTCCTTTAAAACTAGGAATTAAGAAAAATGTTTATAATCAAATTATTTAGTTTAAAGCTATGAACTGAGAAAAATGTTTATAACCAAATTGTTATAATAATAACACATTATTCAAAATGTAACGATGTGTGCAAAATGTACGTAACAGACAAACTTATATTTAAATATAAATATAATATAAATTAAATATGAATATAACATAAATGCCACATTATCAAGTTTAATAGATATATCTAATATTATTTATCAACTAAAATTTCTTATAATAACTAAATAGCGAAGAATATTTTATTTAAACAAATAATTTTTAACAATTTAATAATGTCATCTTGTAAAATATGAGAACCATTCAATTTTGATTACAAATATTCTTCTCTATCCATTATAGCTTTAAAGATATACAGGAAAAAGTTAAGAATTTATAATTTTATTTTAAATCATACACACGCAATTCCGTCCGTCAATTAACAAGAGTTAAATATTAAGAAATTATATCGATACTCAATCAACATCGACGATCGATGTCAGCAATCGAAAATGACATTTATGAGAGATAAAAATAAAAATAAGCATCAAGAGTAGGACAAACAAGTGGAAAGCAATATCGATAAATAATATAAAAGAAAAATCCGAAGAAAAAAAAGAAGCAAGTAAAAGGAAGGGAAATACCAGTCGAAAAGTTAGGAAAACGCAAAATGAATAGTTTCGACAATGGACAGTTTTAGATACCTTGAAAAAGTAAAAGAAAAAGTAAAAGAAAAAGAGAAGAAAAGGAAATAATCAGTACTGAAAAGAAACTTATCAATTTTTTGAAAACAAAAAGTGGTTGCACCGCAGAAGAGAAGAAATATAGAGAAGATATACAGAAAAGGATATGAAAAAGAAGATAGAAATGCAGACATGGATACGAATAAATTAAATAAGCTAACAGAAATCATACAATTAAGAAAGATACAGAAAATATTAAGAAAACAAATGAAGTAACCGAATGAATTAAAGAAAAATTGGAGAAATTGTGATTGGTGTACAGATTCTTGTACTCTTCAAGATGACAATGACAGCTATCATCGCAGCAAAGTAATAAAAAGTTATTTACGACGTGATAGGATTAAATGAAATGGCTAGCTAACAATCCAGACTTAAATCCTATTAAGGACTTATGGACAAAATTAAAAACTAAGAAACTAACCATGACAAAAAACCACTCGGTACACCGTATAATAATCATAAAGAAATCTCATCTATAGAGTGTAAAAAACTCATTGATGCCACAATGTATTAAAGAAGTAATACGTAAACGTTACGAACGTTACAAAATATTAGTACCTTATATTAAAAATAATTTATATTAGTAAATTAAATCGGAAACTTTTTTTCAGTGTTTAAACTCATCAGAAACTTTTTTTTATGTAACATTTTGTTTCTTTTCTTGTTTCTTTTTTATAATAAATATAGAAGTTTATGTTTATTTAATGTCGTGTTTTGTTCTATAATGAGTTTAATTTTCCATAAGTTTTAATTACATACAATGATATTTTATACTTCTAAAACATGAATGTTTTTTATAAATTCCATATTAGTGTCTCTGATCGGAAACTTTTTTCCCAGGGGTTGTACAATAGTAGGAAATATCGGCGGAAATGGCAGAAATGGTAATTAATCAAATTTGTAGATAGAAAACATAATAAAGATAACAAAGCAAAGGAATATTAACAAATTGACAACAGAAACATGGGAAAAGCACTAGTTGAAAAGTAAAAGAATATTCATTAATAACAATGTGACAAAAAAAGAAAGGCAAATACAAAAAAAAAATGTAATGATATTGGCAAAAATAGAAACAAAGATGAAAGTCTTCATACAAATAAAAATAGAATACAAGAAACTAATGGTAAACGACAAGATCTTCAAATGAAAGGAAGAAAAAGAAGTGAGACAAACAACATTTTATTTGTTTCTAAAAAGCAAAACATTCACAGAATTAATAATGATAAAAGTACCATTTTTTCAAAACTGCTAGGATATACACGAGTGAAGGAGGAAAACAAGGAAAATGAAAAGAGAAAAACAGGAAAGTTACCTTTAAATTATGTTTCTAGAATGTGGCATGATTATATAACAAATATAAATATATAGAAAATTTTGATTAAAGACTTCACTTTTTAAAATGAAACTAAATAGATTTTTATATAATTTTTTTCACTTAGTTATAATAATTTAAAATATGTAACAATCTTTTATCTAATCGAGTAAATACATGTATGAAAAGTTTTGCGAATTATATAATTCGCATATATAATTAATTAGTTTTTTTTTATTACTATCATAAAGTTATTCTCGAATATTTAGAAATAATGTTACAACTCATCAGTAACAATTTTATTAAAAAATCTCAGAAACAGCTGAATTTTTAACATCAGTTCGTAACTTATACAACTGATCAGAACTGATTGGCGACTATTTTCCTGATCGATAGCATTACTCCTCCCTTCATTGCATCGATCTCTTCACTTGCTTGTTAGGGAAATCAACAAACTGAAAGAGTGGGACTCGTGGCACAGCGAGGAAATTTCAATGAGTAGAGAGATCAATGCAGTGGGAGAGTTAGCGCTAGCGATTAGGAAAATAGATTACGTTCTAGATTACGTGATGCACTGATTACAAATGTCAAATCATTAATTAGTGATATAATGTTTAGATTTTCCAAAATCTAATTTTCTCGATTACGTTGTAATAATATAAAATTTTCTAAATGGTCCTTATGGACATTTTTGTTCCGATACGAATGCGACATTTCACATAATTAAAATTGCAATATATGGCCATTTATAAATAGATGACAGTTGTATGAAAAGAACAAAATAATTTTTATTCTTATGTAAGTGCAAAATAAATTTTTATTTATTTTTTAAATTCTTTTTTCATTTAGGAAATGTAGTGATAAAGATATATGTATGTTGAAGGATGAAAATAATTGCATATTATATTAAAATTTATACAATGAGTAACTTACAAAATAAAAAGTATTAATGTATAACACATGTTATAATATGCTTTCTCATAAATTTTTATATTCCTTTGATTCGTTATATTTCTTTGTAATAAGAAAATCTATCATATACAAGCTCGGTAAATAGTAATAGCAATTAGACTGGAACTGATTCTACGTGAGAAGATAAGTAAAAAATATGGCATACAATTTTTTTGTCCAAGGCTTCATTT